CATTGATGCTCCAGTCCCTGCCTTCCTCCCCCCCCGACCCCCCCCCACCCCGAATAAAAGGAGAGGGGCTGAAAGTGCTGAAAGTGGACCTGCTGGGCAGAGTGCTGGGAAGGCTTGTGAGCATGCAAGCACCAGTGTAACATCAGGCGGCCACGGGCCCAGCAGTGGCTAATTTGCGTTAGAAAGATAAAGTAGGTTTACTGTTTCACATCTTATAAATTTTTAGGTTTTTTTTTGATATCTTGAAAATGTTTGTATTTGAACCATATTAAACATCTAATGTTATTGCCTTCAACTTACAGATTCTAAACATACCTTTAAGTGAAGGAGGAAAATTAATCTAGTGAGAACTATATGAAATGGGAACTGCAAAGGATTCCTTGCCCAAGTATAAGAGGAGCTGGATCAGGGGCCTAAGGTGGATGACCAGTGGGGCTGAGGCGACATGGGAAGGCTGAGGGGCGGGGTGCTTGTGGAACCCCATCAGGAGCTGGAATTTTGTGCTGATGGGAGGCCATTGGAAGTTTAAGAGGGAGAGTCACCAGATGATGTTTCAAAAAGGCCTCTGTGGCTGCTGTGTAGGAACTGAGTGGAAGCTGTTGGCTAGATGGCGATGCCATTTCCTGAGAAGGGAGATGAATAAGTTTGGGGGTTGAAGGAGAATGAAGAGTTGAGTTTTTGACATGTTGAGCTGATATGCCTGTGAGAAAATATGCAACTGTGTGTTAAATAAAAAGTATTCTTGGGTACAGTGGGGCATCTTTCTAGATTAGTGCTTCTTAACTGTTCTAGGGGTCAGGGGCTTCTCTGAGATCCCTTCTCTAAACCAGTACCCAGAGGCATTCACACACCCAATCTGGGGGGTTATGAACCCTGTACGAGAGGCTTGAATCCCATCCTCGTCATCTCTAGAGCCCCTCCATTAGTGTGCTACAGGTGTGCATCCGACAGCAGCCCTTACCACTGGAAGACACAGATTTCCTGGTTATCCACGATCAGCCGTCCACTCTTGTATTCCACAGTCCCCTGGTATTGGCCATGGGTGGAGTCATACTTAAACATGTATGCCTGCGAGAGAAAGAATGGCTCCTAGTCTTGGGGTGACAAGGGTGGGGGAGTGAGCATCTAAGGAGTCTTTGCCTTGGTGAAGGTTCCACATTGCAGCTGGGAGCCTTCCAGAGAGCTCCCCTGAACCCCCTCCTTACCCCAATCCTACCCTCTGCCTGATGCTCACCATGTATTCTGCATCGATGAATGGATCATTCACTGCCACCACTTGCACACCCTTCTGCATGCAGGCACGCAGCACCAGGCGACCGATGCGTCCAAATCTGTTCGGGGACAATGGTTGTAGGGTTGTCCTCAGAATCCTCAGCCAGCAGGCAGAGGAGGGGATGGGAGAAAAGAGGGTCACAGGAGGCCCCCCAAGGGAACTGGGGGAACAGGGCAACCAGCCCTGTGTGGGCCACTATCATCTCGCCCAGATGACCTCGTCAGCCTCTTAACTGATTGTCCTGCTTTCTCACCCATCTGTCCTCTACCCTGTTCCTAACCACATAGCTGGATGGATCTTGTAGAATTTCAGGTCCGATTATGTCTCTTGGCCCTGAAACCTCCACAATTATCAGTAAAACCAGATCCAAACTCCTTACCATGGCCTACCAGGTCCCTGCCCGCTTTCCACCAGACTCCCTCCTCTTTTCCCCTGCTTGCTTCACAACAGCCACACTGACTTCCTGCCTGTCCTTGGCACACTGACCTGTCACCTCTGCCCCAGAGCCATTGCTTGTTGCATAGCTGTCACTCAGGCCTCCAGTGTCACCTCCCTGAGGCCTTACTTGACACCTCAGCTAACACTGCCCTTTCCAGTCTTAACTATACTCCGTACTGTTCATAACACACATCCCCCAACTGTTGTGTTCCTTATTTTATTGTCTTCCCACCAGAATGTGAGCCCTACATTTTCCCTGTTTCTCGAGGGTGGAAAAAATGAAAGCACTGATGGTGAGCAATGTGGTGACTGGCTGGACTCTAAGGCTTCAGGGAGGGCTCAGAGGCCAGGACCTACTCACCCATTGATGCCAACAGTCAGTTTCCGAACCTTAGGTGGAGGAGGTGGAGTACGTGGAGGAGATGGAACTTTCTCCTTGATAGGCTGTGGCTCAGGCTGAGGCTTGGGCTCACACTGGAGCTGGGGCTCAGGCTTGGGCTGGGGCTTGGGCTCTGGCTTTGCGTCAACCTTGATCTTTTGCGGGAGTGATGCTCTGATTATTGTTACTGTGGGGGGGAGTGGGGGCGACAATGAATTGCACTGTCACAGTGAGAGAATGAACCATCTCTGCCACCCAGAACCTGTTGCTGGCTTCTGGCCCCTAGTGGCTACCAGTCTAGCCCAATGTTTCCCAAACCTACCTAATCCACAGAATGAGCAAGGGGTGGGCTTGCTTTAAAATATCAATGCCAGGACCCCTTCCCTGGAGATTCTAATTCAGTGGGTACTGTGTATTTTTAACAATTGCTTGGGTTGATATTCTCTGTGCCTCAGTTTCCTTCTGTAAAATGGAGATGATAACACTCAGAGGGTCACTATGAGGATTAAATGAAGTAACGTATGTAGTGCTTATCACAAGAGTCTGGGAACATTCCACATACATTAGTATTTCAAAAATCGTTTCCTGAATTGTCTGATAATTGATGTAGCCCAGTGGTCCCCAAGCTGTTCTGATAAACATCAATGGAGGCCTTCCTGAGGGAAATCTGACTCAATAGGTCTGCACTGAGGCCCAAGGATCCTGTTTCTAACAAGCATTCCAGGTGATCCTTATCCTCAGAGAAGTTTAGGAAATAATAGTTGCATCATAACATATAAAACAAATGGAAACCTTATCTGCTTCCGCCTCTCCACACATTTGCAGTCCCGTACTGCATTTTAAAACTCTTGTGCTTGGAGGTGTGTTACCTGAGCTGCAGACGAGGGCTTGAGGAGAGGGGAGATGTGGAGACAGCAGTCAAGGGGCCTGCCTGGCAGAAGGTTTCATTCTGGGGATCAGACCTGGATGTCAGCCCTGGCTCGGCCACCTGCCAGCCGTGTAGCCGTAGGCAAGTTAAGGAACCTCTCTGGTCTGTTTCCTGTCATCACATCTGACCCTCCACCTGAGGCTTCTGTGAGGACTCTGAGATCTCCAGGCCCAGTAGGTGCTGATTTTAATAGAGGGGAAGAAGTCTAATAGTAAGTATTCATGTGGAAAGGGAGAGTGAAGGGGTTGGGGAGAGGCTGGCTGGAGGTTGAAGGTGGAAATTGCGTTTGGCACCAGAATCAAAAGCACCAGGGACGTGGTGGGGCTAGGAGCCAGGGGCCAGCTGTCCTGTTGTCTCCCTGGCCTCTCTGGGCTGTCACAGACCTTGTGGCCTGAGGCTGGAGTGTGGGTGTTCACAGTAGCAGCACAAGTTCATAAAAGTATTAGTGTTTATTGGTGGCAGAGATCCCATGGTTATTGGTGACCTTAGGGTGTTTGCATTCCTTGGGGTTTGGTTTCTGGTATCACAAAAGGGGGAGATTCGTCTATCTGGCTTAAGAGTGGGGCTCTGAGCCCACTTGGTGACCTTTTAAAAGAAAACTCAGGTGATCCTCTCCCAACTTCCCCAGCTTTCCTCTCTCCTCTCCTCCACTCTAGGGGTGGTGTATAGGGGCGGAGAAAAGCTGCTGCACTAGGAAGGACTAGCCCGGAGGAGCTTCGGCAATGAAGCATCACCTGGTAGGTGAAACAGGCACAGGAGCGCTCTCAACCTATTAAAATGACGCTCCCATTTCCTGGGTTCCACCATGGGCTAGGTGCTGTGTTGAGCTCCACGTGAATCAGCTCACAGAATCCTGTGAGGCATGCGCTCTAAGTCCACTTTACAGAGGGGAAACCGAGGCCCGAGGCCACAGGGCTAGGGTCGAGCAGGGAGGGGGTTCATAGCCCTTACCCTGTCTGCTGCTGCATCTTGCAGGGTCCCTAGGGTCCTGAAGCCACACCCCACCCCGGGCACCCTCCCCACAGAGGGGCGGAGCTTCCCGGTTGCCCTCGCCCGCGTTCAGTGAGGTGGGCGCGAGGGAATGGGGATTGTCCTCCCGAAGACTTGGGTTCGAAGATCTGGGTTCGTCTGGTTGGAGTGTGGGTGCACCTCCGGATGGGTGAGGTAGGGCTACAAGCAGGGATTCCAAGTCCCAACTCTACTATTCCGGTGGGAGAGACCTAGGGAAGTGGTGTGCGCCCCGTGAAATAGGGACAGTAAACATACTGGCCTCACCGGGTGGTTGTGAGGCTTCAATGAGCAAACGCTAGTAAGGCGCTTGGCACGGCCCTGGCGGGTTGCAAGTGTCCCCGCCTCTTGCAGTCAAAGCCCATCAACCCCAAACGGCCCTTCTGCACTGATCCACAGGAGCATCAAAGTGATGTGAAACCCAGCTCGCCAAGCCGCTCAACCACCCGCGGCTGTGCTCAGAGATGCCCCCGCATAAACCCGGCCCCTGCTTTTACCCTTCCACCGCAAGCGAGCGGCGCACAGCGCACGCTCAGGGCGGGGGTTCCCGTCCCCACCACCATGGCCATAGAAACGACTTTGCCAGCAAACCCAGGGGACCGACAGGGGTGGGGCTGGAGGGAAGCGGCTCAGGATGGAAGAACCCGCGCTGACCAGCGGCGGCACCGCCCGCGCTTCCTGTCCCCTCCCTCGCCGACGCTCGCGGAAGGGGGATCCGACCCGGCGACTCCTTGATCGCTCTCCCTTTCCCTCCCTGGGGGAGTTCCGGCGCCCCCCTCACCGGGACATGGTTTTCGCAGCTGGACAACGGTGACATTGGTGACAATGATGTCGTCGCTTTTCGACATGGTGTCTACAGTTTCGTGCCCTAGCTGCCCCGGGACCCGCAGAGATGTTACTAAGAAATGGGGCCAGAGTTTCCTGCCGTCCGTCACAGTGCTCAGTGACGTCACAGAGGCGTTGGCACGAAGGCCCATCCCAGTCGAGGCGCGTGCCGTCTGCAACCTGTGCACTATTGTTCAAGGCCACCACTGGCATCTAGAATGGAATCCAACTTTTTACACTGGTCCTCGAAACCCTTTTCTCTCTTTCCTTCGGTACACTGGCCCCCTACTGTTCCTTGA